GAGTATGTCAGGTGCGTTTAATTGAAATAGCACACAAAGTTTCACGCATGAAGATTCGGTTTCTGAAGAGAAACAAACGTACAAAAACTACACGTTATGGACCATCGAAGGACCAGGAGGCAGAGCCAGGCGAGGCATGGAAAGAAGACGGCGTTTGGCCGGCTACGTACCAGGCGACGCAATGAGAGAATCGGGTTAAAGCGCGCGATTTCGGAGAGTGGAGACAAATCGATCGATGGAATAGGATGGAGTAGAAGTGTAAGATGTGAATGCAACGAAGCAGAAGGCCAGAAAGAGCTTCTAGTGAATGCACTCCAAGAACCAAGTTTGAGCATCCCCGTCGCCAGCATTCGTGAAAGACGTCCGTGGGCAATTCGAACGCGTAGCAGCCTTTTCGAGTTTTCGAATTTCTAATCAAAACGAAAGCAATACTTCAGTTCTTTTCACTATTATCGTGGATAATGAGTCTCAAGCCAGTGATTTATGGCTGAAATAGAATCATGATTTTTCCGCGCAAGATTCCTTTAATGTTACAGTAAGGGAAGGAATGATTTTTCATGGAACGGAAAGCGGATTAGGTTGTAGGCTGGGATTATATACCCCTCCCCGCGACGGCAATTTTGGAGGGAAAAGTGGGCGGAGTTGGGCTGTGTCGACTGGTCTCAGAATCAAATACTATAGAATCGCCCCCATGATGGCGATGGCAGGCGAGGGTGGTGGAGGATGGTCGTGAAGGGTTAACCCTGAGGGGGGGGTCGTATCGAGGCCCTCTAGAAGGGGGGGGGAGGGGGTCGTAAAATTTTCGAAATTGGTCCAACGTGACGGTTGACCTTGGTTCCACCTATAAACCTCGTACGGCACAAACAACTAACACGAATAAGGACTATGGGAACAGTCATGATGGTGAGGGTCCCGTATTGGAGTTTCTTCCAAGCCTGATGGCGGTAGTGTGGGGGATGTTCAAGATGCCCTCAAACAGGGGGTGGGGGGGGGGGGAAGCGGCAGTAAAATTTCCGGAAAAGTGCGAGCGCGACGTTTGATCATGGTCGTGGCCCCCTTGCAGGGAGGGGTTGTACCTGTGATGAATTTAATTGGCACGTGGATCGTCCTAGTAAGATTACGTTCATAACTCTCGTTTTAGGAGATTCGACAATCCCGCTGCGGGTGCTCATGTTTGGAAGAATCGGAATCGCCAATTCGCCGAAAACGCTCATAAAACAAGACAGATGGACAGATGGAACCTAGTGATTTCAGCGGAATCGTTGATTCTCTGAGTCACCCATTCGCCCAATCGCCA